ATCTTAAAAAAAAAAAAAAAAGGACAGGGGTTTTGGTCTGTTTAGCTCACTGAAGTATCTCCCAGCCCCCGAATAGGGCCTAACAGACTGTAAGGTTTCAGTGTATCTTTAAATGAAAGGAACCAGGCAGGGAAATGACAGAGAAAGCAAGCCACCCAACAGAAACAAAGGAGACCATGGCAACTACCAAACTGGCTTCGCAAATGGATGATAAGAGTCTGAAGGCTTAATTACCAGTGACTAATGAGCTGTACGTTAGGCTGTGTTTTCCCAGCACTAAGCCATATCTTTTTCATCTTTATGCCCCTCCTTCTTAGCACATAATAAGCGCTCACAATTGAATGGCAAGACTCACTTGACTCAAGAGGAGACAACTTGGGGGGTGTCACAATAAGCAAAGCTGGAGCCTAGAGGGAGATCGGGGCTTGACCCTTGTAAAGGAGAAGACATTTTCTCAAACAAGTGTGTGTCGACACAAGGGAAGTAAGACACTTCATTCATTTTCTTTTCTTTTTTTTTTAAAGATTTTATTTATTTGACAGAGAGAGACACAGCGAGAGAGAGAACACAAGCAGGGGGAGTAGGAGAGGGAGAAGCAGGCTTCCCACTGAGCAGGGAGCCCGATGCGGGGCTCGATCCCAGGACCCTGGGATCATGACCTGAGCCAAAGGCAGACGCTTAATGACTGAACCCCCCAGGCGTCCTTCATTCATTTTCAAAGACGTTTGGGTTCCATTAAGTATCGATGCTGCAGTTATCTTAAAATAGGTACCATTGTGCAGTTGTGGGGAAGGCCTCCAACCGCAGATGTCTTCACTGCATGTCCCAGTTGTCACAGGCCATCAGCAATTAGGGACAAGGTGAGTAGGAAGGGCTGCTTCCTGTTAGAGCAAAGCCATTTGAGAAGGAAGCCATGAGGCCAGGGCTTGACACAAATCACTCCCTATTTTGTTCCCCCAGGTTCTGCTTTTAGCTCACGAACCCATACGGTAGCAGCAGCATGGGGCTCACAGCACAGAACCATTGATTAACTGTGAACTCTGTGCTGAGGGCTTTCAAGCCACATCATTGCCTCAGAGAAATGCAGAATTCTCTTTCCTCTTGGCAATAATTAAGGTCAAAATGATGGCTCTGACCCTTTGTACTCTTTAGCAATATTTTCACCCGGCCCCAGTTATATTACGCAGTGAATTGCCCCAGACCGTACGAATCCCTGCTGGTATCGACCAAGCAAACCCTGCCTATGCTATTTATGTGTACCTGATGTGAGCCCGCATCATCAAGTATTTACGAAAGAACCACTGCCTCAAGAGCAACGTGTGAGATGTTCTGAGAATTCAAAGAAAAGTCAGAGGCAGCCTGCCCCCAAGAGGTTTACCATCTATGGGAGCCGCGGCGCAGCGAAGAGGAAACGTAGCTATGTTGGATGGTGCCAGTCTTGACAAAGAAATTGAGTAGACAAAACTGTTCTGATCTGATGATGATGCCATTCATACCGACTGCTCTTCCAAGGGAAATGAGATGAAGCAGTGTTTCAGAAGAGAGCCGGGAGACCCAGATTTCAGTACCAGCTCTGCCTTTAAGTCATGTGCACACAGGCATCTAGATTCCTCGCGCCCCACTTTCCTTATCTCGAGGGTGAGGTTGTTTGCCCCTCGTGGACTCCACAAGTACCAATCTGAAAACCGCCCCATCGCCATCTAAGACGTGCATGATTTAAGAAGTTCTGACCTAGAGAGACAGTTTAAAAGGATCATTAGTTATTCTCCTTTTTTTAATTTTTTATTTTTTTATTATCATGCTCAGTTCGCCAGCATATAGTACATCACTAGTTTTTCATGTAGTGTTCAGTGATTCATTAGTTGCGTGTAACACCCAGTGCTCATCACATCACATGCCCTCCTTAGTGCCCATCACCCTGTCACCCTATCCCTCCACCCACCTCCCTTCTGAAACTCTCAGTTTGTTTCCCGGAGTCCAGAGTCTCTTATTCTCCTCTTAACTCACACACACACACACACACACACACACACACAAATGTGTTTATCTTCCTCTCTTTACAGTATGAGAGGATTGATGCAAACCTGGCTTGCATCCCAGCACACCCAGTTCTTCTTGCTTAGGCTCAATAATATATTAAAACAAGCCCTCCAGCTTCAGTACATTCCCAAATAGGGCTTATCTATAGCTTTTGCTTCACTTTCCTCAGTTATTGGTATTGTGCTCAACTCCCTGTACATTCCAACAAGAAGGCAAAGAAAAATGAAAGTAAAGATCCCCCCTTTCCTTTCATTTTTCTAGTATTCGTATAGTGAACGTCTCTTATAATACAGCAGATTCAGGTATAGCTCTGATCAAATAGTCTTGCCCGGACAAACTGTAAGCAGGAAAACCCAACGACCAAGAAAGTTTTAATCCTCTGACCCCACTCCAGCATAATGCTTTAAAAAAAATGCAAATACTAATATAAGAAACTGGTTTTCTAACTGTGCCCGTAGTGTGGTTGCAGGAGTTCCTGATGGAAGGGAGGCTTGCTTTTCCCTCGGTGCCCTTTTCCACTCTTTGCAGATTGGCCCTGTGCTTGTGTAAGTTTCATTATAATAAAAATTAAAAAGCGGTACCGGCCAACATTTACTGTGCTTTTACTATGTGCTAAGGCTTTTATAGGCATTACCTCATTTAATCCTCCCACCAGCCCTAACACATTTTAAGTTTCTCCAATTTATAGATGGAGAAACGGGGGATTACAAACATATTCGAGGACATACATCTGTTGACCCAACTGATACTTCTTGGGGATAAAATTATATGATAGATAATAAAATGCTGCGAGAAGTTATATTACCATACAAAGGCGAGGCAGGAGTATCCTATCAATAAAGGAACAGGTTTATTAGGTAGCTGTTGGCCAGGCTTGCAATGGTAAGTCATGCTAAAATTTAGGCTTGGCTCCAGTCATACAATCCCCAGGTTTTTACTTGTTCATTCTCTAGCTTCCATTGCTCAACCATCCTGTTGAAGGATTTGCTTGAGGCTGGAGGTGTTAAATGTGGGGGAGGTGTTGGCGATGCGTGGCCAGTGACCTTGTTTACCAAAACTGGCCTCCCCTCTTCCCGGCGATCAGAAGGTCAGTGGTGTATTATCTGTGGTCTCTGTCCTTCTCACACCCACGGAAATAAGTGGGCCTTAAGGGCAAACAAAGCATATTGTGGAACATCCTCAAATGTCCAGGTGCACAGCTGGGCCAGCTGAGCCAGCCCGCAGAAATTTGAGGACTAAGAATCTAAAACCAACTCAGCAAGGGCCTGATGCTTTGCAACAGATCATCTCTTTTCAAGTATCTGGCATATGAGAAGCAAGCTTCAGAAGAACAACAGCAGTTATTTTAACAACAGATAGAAGTGTAACAAATGCTTTTTGTGCCTTTCAGATTGTGTTTTCGTTTTGTTCAGGTTTCATATCGAGTTGAGACAATAATTAGGGGGCGTGGGCCCATTTGTCATTACTATATATAGCAGACGTGATCTCCAGTGGTAAGGTGTAATCATTCACACACGAACATGAACCTGAGAGCCATTCTATGTTCATTTTGTGATGTTCTCCTCATCCTGACAGTACTTTTAGCCATACAATGACTACAGTCCTCTCTGGGAAGCTCCCATCTTGTGAACAGATTGGCTTTTGGGGATTTTTTTTTTTCCAATCACTGTTTCTTCCGCAAACATTTATTAAGGACTTACTATGTGCTAGATATTCTTCTAGGCATTGGAGATAGTGCCAAGAACAAACAAAGCCGTCACATCATCCATACTTAGAGTTTAGTCAGGGAAGGTGGCAATCACAAAATAAACAAGTAAATTATATAGTATGTTAGAAGGTGATGAGTACTTTGAGAAAATGAAGCCAGGAATGCTGGGAGTGGGGGGTGGAAGTTGCAAGTTAAACAGAGTTCCTGAGAGAGGCCTCACTGAGAAGGTGACATTCGTGCAAAGACTTGACAGAGGTGAAGGAAAGCGATCTGGAGGCCAGCTGTTCCAAGCTGAGGGAACAGTACATGCAAAGGCCCTGAGGCAAGAGTGTGCCAGACGTGATGGGGCGGAGCAAGGAGGTGTGGTTGGAGCAGAGGGAACAAGAAGGACTGGAATAGCAGCTGATGTGCTCAGAAAAATAACAGGGGCCAGATCCAGAGGGCTTTGCAAACCATCCTAATGATTTGGCTTTTACTCTGTGAGATAAGGAGCCACTCCATGGTTTTAAACAGAGGAGCGAGAACTATCTGATTTCAGTTTCTTACAGAAACTCACTGTCACTAATTGTGAGACAGGTTCCCAGAACAACCAGTCAAAGCCTGTTAAACCCAAGTTGCCATTGAACTAAGGATGCTAATCAGACTCTGGGAAGCTCAGAGCACGGGATCTGGACCCAGGAGGTGAGAATCTGACTCATAGCTCACCGGGGTAACTTGGTGCACGTCAAATCAACAGCTCGGAGAGAGAACTTCTCCCTGTCAGAGAAATAAGCAAGCAATACCCGCCCATGGCCTTATTTTGAGGATCAAGTGAAAATGGAACACAGAAACACTGTGTAGGTTGTAAAACACGATATGCAGGTCAGGAGGGGTGGTTAGAGCAACAGTGGTTGTGGTGGCATCCTTATGATTCCTGGGAAAATTCAGTCCAGGACTGAAGTCAAATGCCAGGAATGCAACCTTCCCTTTGCTATTACTTCTTATTAAGGAGCCATAGGAATGGGTCCTCCTCCTTCTCCAGCACTAGAGGTCAAGTAGAGATCTCAATGGAAGGGGCCAGCTGGGCTCCCACGTGAGCAGTCCTAACTTCCAGGGGTCTGTAGACTGGGGCCTCCAGGGCTGGCAGGTGGAAGAATCGGGTCTCCCCTCCTGCGGGCCCCGGAAGCCTCCCCCGCACAGGCTGCCAGCCATTCGGTTCCCCTCAGGCAGGCAACTTCTCCAGATAACCACAGCTCTCTGCTCCCCCCACCAGGCATTCCTCCTACGGAAGGCTTTTGGATGATCATGACTACGGATCCTGGGGCAACTACAACAATCCTCTGTACGACGACTCCTAACAAAGGAACGTGGCCGGGATGAGGAAGAACTGTTGTTTATTTATAAAGTGCTTTCCCAGTAGAATTAATACAAGTACCTGATATGCATTGAGCGACAATCTCTTAAGCCCTGTTTCATTGGTTTGTTTGGTTTTCCTCCCTCTCCTCTGGCTGCTATAACTTCCCCTTTCTGCAAAAAGAATCATTGTTTAAAGGTGAGTGGAGGCTTCTTTGCAGCTGAAATGGGCCAGCCTGGAGCCGGACCACCGTGGTGGAAGCTTCCATACCCGCTGCAGGATCCACCTTAAGAGGGACTGAGGGCCAGGGATCGAGTCGTTCCATCGGGGGCTACTTTTAGGGGAACTTTTTGTTGGTGGTATTTCTCAAACTTTTTAGTTAGGAAATTACATTCAATCTCAATGAGGGGAAAGGAAATGAGTACTGGGAAGACTTCCCCTTCAGGTGAGGGCGCAGGGGATGCTCCGATTCCTTTTTAATCTCTGTTTGTATCTGCCAGGATCCCTGCTTGGCTTTGCGAGTGGGATCCCGGCTTCTTAACTGCCCAGTTAGTGGAAGAGAAAACCGGAAGGCACCCCGGGGAGGCCAGGAGGCCGAGGGACAGCTAGCATGTTGCTGTCAGATCGCAGCATGCCCTCTACCTGTTCTCCCCTCCAGGCTGCCCATCTCTGCTCTGCTCGGGATGCCCCTTCTGGTCAGCTGCAGCCGGCTGGCATCCGGCCTCGGGGGCTCTCCGCAGGAGAAGGCTGGGAGAGGAGTTTAGTTAGAGAAGAGAAAGGGGGAGGCGTGGGAGGGAGCGAGCGCTGGGGCAGTGGAGGAGGCTGGGAAGGGAGGGCACGGAGGTCCACCTGGGGGAAACGAGGAATCAGCCCCCAATAACTAACAGAGATATCCACTGCTCTGAGGAACCTCTAGAAAGAATCCTTGCTTTATACCCACAAAACAGCTAGCTCACTGCCTTACTGTCTGTTGGATAATGGCTGTAGACTGTTTTGTAAAAAACTGTGAAGGCATTAGTCTATCTGCGGTTGCTCAGTGAGGCATTTCCATAGGAAACAGACACCACGATTAATCCATCTATTCTTCCTGTTCACTTACCTTACTAATTCTGCCCTCTAATTAACGAACACTCCCAGGTACATGGTCTTCAAATCCTCGATCTCGAATTTTGAAAAAGAACTGATATTGTTTGCAGATGGCCATTTACTGCAGTGGGTATCAACCGGCAGACAATTTTGCTCCCCAACGTTAGCCATTTAAAAATGTCTCGTGTCATTTTTGAGTGTCACAACCTGGGGGTGCCACTAGTAGATAGAGGCCACGGACGCGCTGAACATCCTACAATGCACAAGACAGCCCACTACAACAAAGAATTGCCTGGCCCAAAATGTCGGTAGTGCTGAGTTTAAGAAACCCTGGTTTCATGAAATGCCCCTTGTGACAAAACAACACACTCCCAGCTTAGTAACATTTTTTATTTTTACCTAAATGAAATGATTTGTTAAATTGTTACCTAAGAAGTATTCAGTTTGTTGGCTGATGGGTTGTTTTGGCATGTGTGGTTGCCTTTTTATTTCTGTGTGTTCTCTAGATAGCTTTATTTCGTAGCTAGAACTCTATCCTCCCGAAACACCTGATGTTAGTAACCGGCATCTTGTGTCCTGATTGGAGTAGGAAACTTCACGGATTAGGAAGCATCCATTGGGTCCTGATTCGGAATACATTCTCTTGTCCTACAGTGTCCTACAGTGTCATAAAGAACTTGAAACTGGATCAATTTTTATTTCTAAACTTGGACTTGCTGCCATGGCTGTTCTCAGAAATCTGACCCTCAGCTCAACCTATCACTCGCTGTGGTCCAGCAAAGTACTGACATGAAGACCACTGTTGCCATGCTGTTCGGAGATGCTAGGAGCTGTGCTGCTCTCCACAGCCTGCCTTCCCACACTCTGAAATTATTCCTAAACTCCTTACATATCAAAGGAGAATGAGCAAGCCCCAGAGGTACTTTACAACAGGACCAGGTAATGAGAAGTAGGCTGTCAGGAAATCTGATTAGCTCTGATTATTAAAAAACAGACAAACAAAATGGACATTCTCAGAAAAATGGCCAGGGATGACCCATGTTGCCCCCTCCGGCTGTGCCGGGCCTGATTGTCTCTCTTCCCTATCCTCCCCGCTTTATACAGCCTGTAGGCCTTCAGTTTAGCAAAGGACAATTCAATAAAAACAGGACATCCCTTTATTTTCTCCCTTGGCCACAAACATTTTGACAAAATGTCCATGAAACAGCTAGCTTTAGAGCGTTGCTCTCCTGGATACTGCTCCTATTATGACCACAGACTCAGTAAGCATCTTCCCTTACCAGAGTCTTCTGTTGTGCAAGAGCACCTGATGGGTTTGTTGCTCCTGTTAACTTCCAAATCCTTATGGCAAAGAGAGGGATCTGGGCCTAAAGCAAATATATTCAGCAAGGTGACAGCTTCCCATAAAAAAACTCTAACCCTCCTTGTCATGGCAGTATAAAATACCTCCAGGGTGAACCTTATTTTGCCAAGTACTTTTTTTCTGAGTTGGCCAAAGAATTTGAACTGTATTCAACACATGTTGCTTGAAACACACACACACACACACCTGAAATACATGCTGATATTTGATGTCAGGGAGATATTCTGTCCAGGTCTGCGCAAGGGAAATTGCTCCAGTGGATCTAAAAAACAACCACTTTCATCCAGGAATAGGACTAGTCATAAAGTGATAGACTGTCAGAGCAGGAAGGAGGCAAGCAGCCTCTTCTAGACCATAGATTGCAAATGATGAAGAGTGGGATTCAACTTTGTTTTCTTTTCTCTTGGCCCCAGTGAAGTCTCCTGCCCTCCCTGGATGCCTGTCTTCATTTCTTAAATGAGGGTGATGCTTTCATATTGACCTCACCCCATGCTACCTCACAAATGTGTTGTGAGGATTCATGAAATGATGTCTACAGTGTTTTCAGTTTCTGGAGAGAAATATTTATAGACATCTTAAGTATTACATAGGTATATAAGTGATCTCAGTTTCAGTTTCTTGTTTGTAGTTATACTGGTGTGTTGTTCTGACTTAAATCTATAAAACAACAGCCGTATCTTGGCCACATCAGGCAGCTGTCCCAGCTCTGAGCTACCCCCCAGTGCATCTGACTGCAGGGTGAACCATGCCTGGGACCAGGAGAATGGTTTCCATCTCCAAATGAAAAGATGTCCCAGGACCTAGGTCTCACAGACTATCGAGTTAGGATCCAGAAGGTTAGGGTAATATAGGAAGGATACCTGAGCACTGATAGCAGTAGGCCTCTGGCCTTCACCATCCTGAAGTCTTCTGAGTTCTTTGTGGAGTTGATTTTGGTTTGATGTCATCCGTTTGCCCTTCATCTTGCTTGCAAGGGTGCACGGTTCAATCCCTCACGTATGGGAAATGAATTTTGCAACTGCGCCGTGTTGATTTGCACGTTGGATTCACCCTCTTTGCCTTTAACCTCTTTTTGGCAAACGAATGTACCATTTCAACTTTGATTTTAAAAGTGCTAGTTGGTACTGCTAAGAGTGGTAACCGAGAGACCAACGCCACATTGCTTTCTCGGGGTGAGTTAGCCAACATCATCTAACGATGGAAAGATGTGCAACTTCTTTGATATTTGATGTCATTGTATCTACATTTGTTGTAAGACATATTGCATACTAATTATATCGATTAAAGTTGTTAAAAGCTTGCACCTGACAGTGGTGACTCACATTTTGATATGTTTTGTTATTCAGGACATTCAGTTGATATGCTCCTATTAAGTACCTTTGACTTGTTCTTAAAGAAAATCTATCCCCCATCAATAAATAATATTTTCTGCACAGTGGGAAGGTCTCTCTGATCTCGAAACAGAATTGAAGGGTGTCAGAAATGAAGAAACTTTCCAAGCCGTCATTTTGCTCTTAACAATACATCATGTCTTCTAAAATAATTGTAAAAATAAACACTTTGATTCAATAAGTAGGCAGGGGTACAAAACCAAGTCATATTAAGGCATATCGGCATTAGTAGTACATCTGATACCTGCTTGTTTCATTCTCCTTCAAAAAATTAAGTTCATCATACCCATCCTGACAGTTAAAATAGCAAGCAATTTCAATCATTCGGAACATAATATCAACCCTCGGGAGCTAACCAAAGATTATTCTGATTCAGAAGAAAAGAGCAACGATAAAACCCATGCATTTTGCAACACAGGGGAGGAATGGAAGCACCTGCAAGCTAGAGCGAGGTGATATGATGATTTGAAAACTTGAGGTCAGATTTAATAAGTTTAGGTGCCTGGTGTCCAGTGACACAGCATGGAGGATTGACTGGAAAGAGTCAAGAGGAAGAAAGAGGACCAGACGTGAAACAGACCCTTTCCTGATGATGATCCAGTCATCTCTGGAGGCCCTCCAAGGGCACAGAGGCAAGTAGCAACTCCATTATTCCAAGCTTGCCTGAACACAAATCGGTTAGAAAGCACTTCAAATGTGCATGGAAAGAAAAGGCCTAATGATAATGTGTAGGGTTTACCTATTACGAATTACTGGGTCCAAAACAATATATTTTCCTACCCTGTAGCTTTTCCAAGTCAGATCATAGTATGTTTCAAGGATTTAGTAACCTCGCTGCCATCTTTTACTCTCCTAAAGGTCGGCAGTACTCACCAATCGCTGGCTATATTTTGATTTTTGTCAGAAAGCATCGAGATTGAAAAGTACTGAACAGATTGGGGGACAAAGCCTGTGAGAGGTATGCGCTCTCCTCTGAAAGGATCTAAACTTTGGCAAGTACAGAATGGGCTCCATTTACTGCACTAAAGCAGCATTAATTAGTTTGACTCAAGAAATGCATTGCGTTTCTATTTTAAGCAAGATACTGAATATTTACTATAAAACAGGAGGAATATAGTATCCAGTAGGAACTTTGGGTGCCTGCGGGCATTGCCTGATGCCATCCTGCATCAACGTCATGGTCACTACACTCTCTCCATGTTACAGGTAGGGAAACTGAGGTTCCACGATATGAAACGCACTCCGGCGCGTACTGAATCCTCCTATGGACTCCGTATCGAATAAGATGGGCCCTGCTCGCCACATATTTACAGCTGAGTCAGCGGCAGAGGTGGCATTCCAAGCAGGTCTGTCTGTCACCAAAGCCCTGGGTTATTTTCCACTCGAGGGACTGGTTTCTGGTCTAAGTATAACCCAGTGCTCACACCTTCTACTAAAATGGGATCTTCCACCTCTTGCCAAGTCTCCCCTCAGCTATTTTAGGTGATCTCAAGGGGGTCTGGCATGCGGCCCAGAGCAAGCCCGGTCGGCTCCCAGGCACATGTCCCCTGCCAGGCACTGTTACCTTCCTGCCAGTTCACGCGGCCCTGCTGGGCTGTGTTCTCTGCCAAGGAAGAGGCTGCCTCCACCTCCCCCACTCTGTTAGAGCACCAGCACAGGCCCCCCTGCCTCCCCGGGTTGAGTGAAAACCTCTCCTAGCTTCCACCTGCAGCCTCCCCGCTCCCCGTAGGAGACCGGTGTGAGCCCCCAGCAGCCTGGACTAGAGATTCTGTCCTCGGAATCTCTTCCCCTCTTGCCCTAAGGTTCCATTATTTCAAGAACGGGTCTTTCCTTGGTATCCTAACAATAATGATAGCTTATTCTCAGCTAACACTCACTATGAGCCAGATCCTGTTCCGAGCACTTTACCTGGATTAACATCCCTAGGAGGTAGATACTATTAATGCAGTATCCCCACTGTACAGATGAAAAAACTAAGGGCTGAGGATGTAGAGACTTGCCCAAGGTCACGCAGCTCCCAAGTGCTGGGGCAGAATTCAAGTGCCAGCAGTCAGACTCGAGAGCCTGTGCTCTCCATCACCTCCACAGAGCCCCCACTCGGTGCCAGGGGTTCCTGCACATCCGCTCAGCCCGCCGTCAGACAGGCTCGTCTGTGTCTGAACTCCGTGTGGCCACGGCTGGGCACCGAGCGCAGAAGCGAGCTCCCTCCCTGAAGGAAGGCTTCTGGCCTGGCCGACTCTGTGCTGCTTCTGTCTAGATTCTGGCGCTTCCAGACAAGGTCGCCCACCCGACAGCCCCCAGCTCGACAGCAGGCAACTCCAGGCTGACCCGTCCCTTGTCACCAGACCCACACAGTAGCTGTGGTGAGAGTGCAGAACACTCTCATGTTCTCCCACTAGCCACACCTGCCTTGGCACGGGGACAGAATTCACTGCAACCAACACTGCTGGGCAAAGTGCTGAAAAGTTCTAGCCCGTCAGAAGCCAGGGGTTGTCAGGTGGTGTGAGAGACAAATGCATGCCTCCGCACCACCACATTGAGGCCTGCAACTGCATCCACCAGGGAAAACCAAAAAACACTTCTCCGTGTATTTCTGGAATATATATTAAAAGCTTAATACAAAGCAAAGGATTTCACGTAGAAATCAGAGTCTCACATGGACTTTTTGCGAGCGGGAAGAGAAGTGGGTAGGGGAACCAGAGCAGGCAACTGCTGAAAGCTGGGAAGCTGCCACCATCTCAGGCTCCAGCAGTGAGGTGGGGCTGGGGAGTGGTGGGGTCCTCAAGAGCTCACTGGGGGCCACAGCTGCCCCCACACCGGCCTGCGATGGTTTTGGGGGAATGGCTTTCCCTGTTTTCCATCTTTCCTATATCACTGGAGAACTTCCCATGGGCCAGCTCCAGCCCATGGGAAGGGAAAGGGAATTGGAAGAAATGCAATTTCTGGCTTCCCCCCTGGTTTGCCAAGGAGACCTTAGGCAACATGGGAAGGATGCTGAGCAGCAAATAAGTGAGCACAGTCCACCCTCACTCCTCCAAGATTAGAACTTCCCCAAAAGGAAAATAAACAACATCATTTTATCCCTAAGGTGATGCAACTGTCCCTTACACAACTGAGGGTACACTCACCTGCCCCCTAAAAAGAAAGACAAAGACACGGAATATGCCCTGTGTGGCTTCAGCTCTGGGAACATTCACTCCTAGTCCAGATGCAATCTTCCTTTGATATCCAGCAACTTAAATGCCCAATTATAGGGTTCACCACCTTATATTGGATAAAGGTGGGGGGATGAAGAAAGAGAGAAGAGGAACTGATGAATACAAATACCTATATATATATACATATGCATATATGTATCAAATTGAGGAAGAGAATATGCATAATTACAAAAAGACTTCCTTTCTGCAACTGATCAGGAGACAGCATTGGTATTGAGAATTTCCTTCTTCTGCTAGCCTGTGCATTTTCCTTTGTCCTCAGCCACATCTCATCTGGACATGGTTCTTTACGTGGCAGGGTGACTCAGACCTTCTGCCGAAATGTGAGGAAAGCTTGGGGACTGGAAAAGCAAAGAGAGCTACTGAACTGGATACCACAAATAAATGAACATGAGAGAGAGATGCCCACATGGTACCTAAGTGCCAAATACTCTCCCTTCCCTACTTCCATTGCTCTTTCCTCTCTCCGTTCCCATCCCTCCAGCCCACCTCATCCACCCCCACTAAACAGAAGAAGAAAAAAAGTAGGGTAGAGAAGAGGTTCAAAACCATTCTCAGCACTTAGCTTGCTGCATGCAGAGCCCTGGGTCATTCCACACCCCCATCACCCACCAATTCCCCCAGCTCCTCATCTCTGCTTGGGATCTTCTGAAGACAACGGTGCGTTCTTCAGAAAGCCAGAACTTGATAAAAGACCTGCTCGGGAGTGTGGGGGGCAGTAAGAGCAAAGGTTTCCTTGCATTCATTCACTTTCAACATAGAAGTCCCATGGGCCATTCCACATCCTCCCAACTCCCCCATTCCTCTCCTCCCGTGAGGAAGTGCCTGGCTGCAGATGGTCTTGCTGAGCCATGATTACAAGCTCTGGGGCTGATATGCAATGAATTGAAATACATTTAACTTACAGGATGAGTAAGCCCCAGTGGCAATTAATCTCAAATCCTGAGGCCCGGGGGCTGCTTGAGGGACTGTGCTCTCTCCTTCTGAACAGCCATTTCTGGAAAGCAGCCAAGCTCACTAAGCAGCCCTAATCATGGGGGCACAGCCTTGAAGCATTTGCCTGGCCCCTGCCAAGGGCACCCAGCAATACCTGGCTGCTGGACTCTTCTCCTCCAGAGTGGAGAGGCCGGATTCTACGTCTGTCTCCCATAGGCCGGTTTCAGCGCCCCCCATGAGTTCAGGTAAACTAACTCACTCCTCGGGGACCAACATCCTGAGCTATCCAGGGAGCTGACAGGTGGCTCTTCAGCTAAAAAAAGGCAAACCATTCGGGGTGCCCGGGTGGCACAGTAGGTTAAGCATCTGTCTTCAGCTCAGGTCATGATCCCGGGGTCCTGGGGTGGATCCCAGGCTCCTTGCTCTGCGGGGAGCCTGCTTCTCCCTCTGCCTGCCACTCCCCCTGCTTTTGCTCTCTCTCTCTCTCTCTCATAAGTAAATAAGCAAACAAACAAATAATATCTTAAAAAAAAAAAAAAGGCAAATCATTCTTTCCTAGCCTCCATAATTTCCTGCAAACTGAGGCAGCTGGTTCCTTGGAGAGTAACAGGCTCTCAATCCAAGCATAGTCAAAACCATGGACAAAGGCTAGAGATTCTGCTTTGCATCCTTCCCCTCTCAGTGCCTTCTCTATGCTTAGGACACTAGCTGTAAGAAGGGAGGGGGGCAGTGGGAAACCCAGGCTGCTACCTGACAGAGGCATTATGGGACTAGGGGCCAACTGGGAAGCACTTGTTCATGGACAGCCTCACTGTTTGCTCGATTAAAGGCCCCATGGATTCCACTAAGGAGCAGACTGTGTGGGATGGTAGCATTGAAAGCAAAAATTTCATTCATTCATTTATTTACCATTCAACAAACAGTCTTCATTTATACATTCTAGATGTATAAACAAGTGAAACAAAACATGATCCCTAAGATAATATTCATCTTCAAAATGCTTTCAGTCTACAAATAAAACAGGCTAAAACTAAAACTGGGACTCGGCACAGAGTGATGGGTACCTTGGTAACGTGCAGGGGACACTGGAAGCATGGAAGAGGATGTAGTAAAAAGATCGGCAAGTGTCCTGACAAGTTTAGTTTCATCTTCTTTATTCCCAGATGTCTCTCTGATCCTCATTCCGCCACCATCTGCCTAATCCATTCCCTGGATCTGAACTTGCCCTCTGGGCTATTCCTTTGAAGATCCATCCTTTGCCATCAGTCCCAGATTTTCTCTTAGAAATTTACTTTGTTCCTCCAACTGACATTTGAGCCAAGGGTACTGGCTTCTGCCCACACTGGTCACACCCAGATCAGCCCTTGCTTCCAGGGTTTGTCGTGGCCCAGGGATGCCTCGGCTGGAACTTGATATTGTGTCTCTCACTACAGAAAGAAAGCAGGAGAGTGAGGAGGGGGCACGGAGAGAGAATATCATCCTCTCCTCATCTTGCCACATTTCCTATGGTCATAATTCCCTAAGGATCACCAGGGCGTTTAACTGGTTTTCCTGACTATGTCCTCTGATGGAAGAGAGAAGAAGGAGAGAAGGGAAATGACATTTGTTGAATGCCTGTGATGTGCCTACACCATTTGGAAGATTGTTAGGTCTTTTTAGAGACCAGAAAACTGAGGCTCGGGAAGGTTAGGAGCCTCAGTTAGAATTGTTACACAGCTAGTAAGAGGTGAAGTCTTGATCTCAGTGCTGGACCTTCTTACTCCAAAGCCCATGTTCTATCTAGAATGATGATGCTTCTCAAACTTTAATGTGCATGTAACTCATTGGGAATCTCATTAAAACACGGCTTCTGATTCAGAGGTAGAGGATGAGGGGTGAACATCCGCATTTGTAATAAACTCCCGGCTGGTGCTGATGCCAGGGGTTCCCCATTGCCCCCTGATTTTGAGCAGTAAGTACTCATAATCCCAGGCAACACCCAAGGGCCTGCCAGCAGGCCCTTCTCAATAGGGCTGATAACACCACCTCTTACCCACGGGCAGCGAAGTGTGGCAGCATCTTTTGGTTTTGGTTCTTAGTTGTTGCTATGACTGGTGGAGTTATGAGCATTTCATATCTGGGAGTCAAGGATGCCACAAATCCTTCAGTGTATGCAATAATCCAGGGTTGATTTTCTTGGGACAGTCGTACACAGCATAGATTGTCTCACCTAAAATTCTCAAAGCATCTTCATCAAGGAACCCTGAGCAGCAGCTGGTGGGGGGCAGTGGAGGGCGCACACTACTGTCATATGCGATCCCTCTGGCTGCCTTATCCTGTTCTCCGCGGTTGGAAACATCAGCTCCGCCCCCCAGTTGCTCTGCTCCGCACCGTCTTCACCAACGGCCGCTCTAGAGCATATCACTGCACATGCGCGTGCGGGTGGATGCCTTGCTTCCTGGGACTCCAGCATTTCGGCAGAAAAGATGGTCCAAGAGGGCCGCATCCGAGAGAGGTATGTTCACATATTTCTTGGCACCCCCCAAGGGCACAGGGATGCTGCTATGACACAAACGTGGACATTTTAGGAAAGCATGCTGGCTGGCTGATAAATTCATATTTTGCATTCCATGACAATTTCAGAAGGTATTTCTTGAGAAGGTGGGAGAGGAGCTGACATCTACTAAGCCTCTGCTATGTGCCAGGAACTGGACAGATGCTTTAAGAGTATTATTTCACTGCAGCTGTGGCATGGAATAGATATTACAAACTCAGACTCTGGAGCTCGAGTGTCTGGGTTTGAATCTCACCTCAGCTACTTACCAGTTGTGTTACCTTGAAAACAATATTTAATCTCTCTCATTCCCTCAGTTACTTCATCTGTAAAATGAGGATCAGAATGGTATCTGCCTCATTAGCCTTTTACAAAAGTTAGATGAACTAATACCTGAAGAGCACAAAGCATAGATTAAAGACATAAAAGCATATGCTCGCTAAACAGAATCACCATATAAGTTATTTTTACAGATTTTACAGATGGGGAAACTGAGATACTCAAGATCACATAGCTACAATGTGGTACAAGCTGTCTGATCAATCATAATAAAAACTATTATTCACTGAGGGGTGCCTGGGTGGCTCAGTCAGTTAAGCGTCTGACCTTTGGTTTCCACTCAGGTCATGATTTCATGATTTCAGGGTTGTGAGACTGAGCCCCACATGGGGCTACACGCTGAGCGTGGAGCCTGCTTAAGATTCTCTTTCTTTCTCCCTCTGCCCCTCCCCCACTGCTTGTGTGCTCTCTCTTTTTCTCTAAAAACTAAAAATAAAAGATAAAATAAAAAAATAAAATGCCAAATACTAATCATAAAAAGAAAAACCTCTCGCTTTAGATACACACTTTGACAAACATATATTTAAAATCCAAAACCAGGGGCGCCTGGGTGGCTCAGTCATTAAGCATCTGCCTTCGGCTCAGGTCATGATCCCAAGGTCCTGGGATCGAGCCCCACATCGGGCTCCCTGCTTGGCGGGAAGCCTGCTTCTCCCTCTCCCACTCCCCCTACTTGTGTTCCCTCTCTCGCTGTGTCT